TTGGCCGTGAGGCAAAAGGCGAATGATACCATGTAGAAACTCTGTGGTATTGTAAAAGAGAGAGAGAGAGAAGAAGAGAAAAGAGAGAAAGGTTTCTCAAGAATTAAGAGATCTGTTATGTCTCATTAATTAACAAAAGAATTAATACAATTACATATATATAGCCTTTCGACTATTTACAAACCAACCACAGAAAACAAACTAATTACATGAGTAACAAACTTATAACAGACTGAACTAATAACCAACCAACTTTAGTTATGAGATATCATCTTCATCTTTAAAAACTGATTTAACGAACTAATAAGTATGCCATGCAAGAGCCTAGAAAACCTCAAGCAGCAGAACATGGATGTGAACCATATATCTCTCTCTCTCTTTCTCTCTCTGTCTCTCTCTCACAGACCTATCACCACGACAAGATTAGACATGAGTGCAGCAATCTGACGCAGTAATTAATCAATTTCTGAAAGTCTACAGACAAAGAAAAACGTATTTAATTCACAAAAGCTTTGTTTTTTTACTGGTTTTTTGGGTCTCCTCTAAGAATAGTTTGAAGTCAATAATTCAATACCGAAAGGAAACCTACTCTCACTTTGATTTCCATCTAGAACATCTCTAAACGAAAATATTTTTTGAAGTACCATACCTGTTTGCTTGAAGGTAAATATTTGTATGTCTCTTCCCTAAGGAGGGTAAAGTAACAGTTAAAGCTCCAGGAAATTTTTGGCAAGTCAAAGTTGCCAAAACCAAATAATGAGAAATGAAATCTTTGAAGCAACTAGAGGAGGAACTGAGGCCAAACTAGCTAGCTAGCGGCTAGCCAATAGAAGAAACTCTGAAAAGAAAGAAAAAGAAATCAGAGAGAGAGAGAGAGAGAGAGGTAGGTGGTACTATAGCTACTGGGTTGCTTGAAGGGAAAACACAATTTCCAAATATGTGGAGTACACCTTTTTCTAATATAGAAGTTTCTTGAGGGAAGAAATAAATTTCCAAATATGATTATCACTACTTTTTCCATTTTAGAAGCATGAACTCTGAGACAAATGATAATACTTAAAGATTGACAGAAACAAGACATGGTGATTGTTCTGACTTTGATTTGCTTCCCTTAACAAAACCAAACAAAAGCCAAGAGGCTTACAGAAAGAGAATATTGAATATTATGACTCAAAGAAAGGAGAAAGGAAGTAGTCAGTAAGAGCAGATTACACAGAAAGTGCATTATAATTATTATAATTGTAATTATAACATTATTTGAAGATCTCGTCAAGTCTGAAACTTCAAGCCTCAGGGTTCTTCAAAATAAAGTTTTTCGTTGTTTACGCCATGTACAACTGCAAAAACCCGTCAATGAGATTGGATTGGACATATGATCTGACAAAGTCTTTGTGTCATACACCACCTGCATTATGGTTGCATGATCCCTCTTGCACTAAGTCAAACAGTAGTAATAATACCAACTAATTCAAATAATGTTAATATAATTACTGGGTTTCCTTAAAAGTTAGGGTTATATTCCAATAATTGTTAACGTTGGAAAACCGAATAATTTGAACTTGAGATCCATTGTAACGGTGAGAAGAAATAAACAAATTAGATTAAGAGTTTGATGGTCTTATCTTGTTGGGTTATTAAATATGCCAAGATTTAAATGTGATTGTAATTTGTAGTTCATGTGTTAGTTCCAAGGTCTATATTTTGATATCTATAAGATGAGATTTTGGACTCTAAGATTCAAAATTCATAAATCTCATCTTATTAAGTTACCTAATAAAATACTTTTAGTGATCTTAATATCATCTCTTAGTCTTCCCTAATCCAAAGTCCAAAGGCTCTAAACTCCTTTCCCTTCAATGGCACTATACTGCCAGGAAACGAACACCAAATAAAATATATTTCTTCTTTAATCATTTTCCATCTGCTTACTGCCACATATAAATTATTCATGGTGCATGCCTGTCCGATCCCTTCATGAGGCTTCAACTCGTGGAAAGTTGAATTGGCGCATTCACGTTGAGGAGTTCGTACGTGTACAGTGTGAACAATGATCGATATTAATGCAAAGACATCTCTCTCTCTCTCTCTCATCTTAAAGTTGCACATATCTCAGCAACCTCGGCCTTGACAGAACAACACCAAATTGACTGAT